CCATTTGAACCAGTCTTTGGGAAAATTGAGGAGAAATGCATGTTTCCTTTCGGGTTTGACCAGTGCATATGAGATGCACTACGCGGCGTTACCAGTAGCTGTCATATTGTTTTGCGTTGATTTTGAATAAAAAAAACTGGAGATGAGTCATCATCGGTAATGACAGGGCTCTTCAGAAGCAAAGGGGAAACGAGGTAGATGTGTGTTCATGCGTTTGTGCATGTCCCCTGCATATAGTGGTGCACATGATGAAACCTGAACAGTATTGCAAATGTGGTGAGTCTTTTTTACCCAATGCAAATAAGTTATTAGCCAGATCCTTTTTTTGTTTATATTTTCAAAATGGTTAGCTGTGTTTTATACCTTTCAGTCACACCGTTAGCTGATTCTCTGACACAGTTTTTTCCCCAGGTTACTAAATTCTTGGAAAATATTTTTTCTGTCTAAAGTACTCACGTTTTAAGCGTTCCAGATGTCATGAGCTCAGTGACGAGAACAATACATTTCTTTCCTTTGCATGGTCCCTCCCAGGAGTCATAGAAGCGGACAATGTTAGGATGCTGGAGACCCTTCAACATGCCGGCCTCCTCTTTGAAGCGCTGACGTTCTGACTTGGACAGCTTGCGATCCTACACACAGGACAGAAAAGGAAAATTAGTCATACATACATAAAAACATTGTTCATCTTAAATCTAGAGGGAAGAAGCATTTAGCCAAACAAAACAGACTCTATTAATAGTACAACACTATTATGGTGAGTGTGATTACAATTAAATTAAGCAGGAAGAGGGTTTGTGGGCTGGAGAGGAAAGCTAATTAACAGAAGAACAAAAACAAGTTAGGTAGAGGAGAAGAGAGAGGAGCTGATGAACGATTAATGCTTTCAAAACATACAACTACAGTATGATTTGACAACTTGATACAACACATGTTTTATCCCACATCTAACACTGATGCATAAACAAATGCAATGATGAAATAGGAAACCAGGTACTATCAGAATATGGTGCCATATTACATTAAAATACAGCACTAGAGAAGGATGTGGATAAAACAGTAGACTGTCCTTTCATCTCGTCTCACAGGAGCCACATCAACATCCATTACAGTGAGTGTCTGGCTCTGTTTTGATCTTTTTAAGCACAAGCTTCATTTCTCAGACAAACTGGTTTGTAAAAGTTATTTATAGTAAACTGATGTGACTTTACACAAGAGGCAAAATTAGGTAAGCTATTAGTTTGTGTGTGTTTAATTTATTTCCCATATTTTCCCCTTTACTGTGATTTTTGTCACTAAATCCACTTTTAACTCTTTGGAAGGTTGTAGACAGCATGTTTGTCCTTGTCTGAAATCAGTCTTTATTAACTATATACTGTATATATACACTTTGGATTACTCTGTAGATAAAAACAGCTCATAGTAAGGTAACTAAAACACAATTAGGCTTATGGTCAGGTGATTTTACATTAATAAAAACATACTTGAGAATATTATATTCAATTTCCGCCAATATATTCTCCTAAATTACACACTAGACCTTTAACTTGTCGCTGATTAATTTTATGTCAATCAACTGGTTGATTAACTGACTAATCGTTTCAGCTCTGTTATAGAAGGAAAGCGAGAAGGACGCAGTGGTTTTGGATACAGGTCTGGTGTCACCACTGGCTGCTTCTTTTCACTTCACTGTGACATGCTATCGCCTCAGATCCCCCTGCCAAATAAAGACATGATCCCTCACTGGCTTCCCATCTATAAACAACTCCCAACTCTTCCAACACATCTCATCCTCAGGTACAAGCTCCTACTTCTTGTGTCCTTTATATTTTTGTTGTTGAATGTAAATCAGTCTTTATTATCAGTGGTCGTAGCCACCCAATGAGAGCTTGACCAGGACACGCTAAAGTTAGGGTCTACATTCTTCCATCCTGTGGTAGGCTAGCTTCTTAGAAAACTCCTATACGCATACATACAAACAGTTTAATGGGCATTCCAGCTCTACCACTGATACTTCAATAAAAACAGATGCAAAGGGCAGCGTGGGCGGGTCAGATCTTGTAAAGAAAGTGTGAGCGTGTGTGTGTGTGTAGTCATGCATTCAACTGTGTCTAGCCTGTGTTCGTTTACATGTCAGTTTGTATTATAAGGAAGGAGAATCCATTATTTCACTGTAGGCATTACCTTTTAATTAGATCTGTTGCTGAAGTTTTAGTAAGAGAGTGTGTATGTGCTTTTTTTGGTAAGTGTGAATGTGTCTGCACATTGATGTTTCCAGTTTCTTCACCAGCTCTGTGTCTAACCATAGCTGACACATTCAGCACATCACTACCCCAAAAATAAACAAAATCACAGCTGCCTGACATAAATAAGGTGACAAAACCTCAATACTTAGAAGATTCAAGCCCAAATATGGTTGCAACTTCCTTCGTGACTCTAAACGGTTATGTTGCTCATATCGTCACAGGATGACCTGCCGTTACAAGTAGGTTGCACCAGAAATGAAAAAAAAAAGAGAAAGAGATTAAAACAAATATGAAAGAGATGTTCAATTAACCTGGAACAAACAGAAATGTGTGCTTTGAGGGGAATTCATGGCACACATGCAGAACATTTCATAATGTCTGTGACCCTTTTAGAGGATGAAATTACAGGCAAGTGAACAGACGGATCAGTCTGCAGACAAACACAAAGAGCAGCAGGACTGACACAAAGGCTATGTGTGTGTTTGTTTAAGTATCAGTGACCGAATAACTAAAACACAGAGCGAGACCGCAGCAAGGAGCAACAAGACATGTCAGAGTTTGATGAATTTAAGATGTATTTAAGGAAGCAACAGTATTTTTAAGGTGATGCAAGATCAGACGTTGGAGGTTAGACACCTACTCCTAGCAACATTATCAGGAGTATCACCATGGCAACCAGTTTTAAAAAAAGGTCCAATGAGGGGCAGCCTGCCACCAATTCAACTGTTCGGTTGTTTCATTCACTAAATCAAACATATTCAAACATCTTACAGATACACCGATAATATGTTGTGAATCTGCATCTTGTTGTTTTATTTGAGTACTTTAATTGAATATGAAATAAATGTAAAAAAAACAAAAACAAAGCATCCAGTGTGTAAGTGCAAACCTCTGAGATGAAGCACGGGCTCAGCATCAATCATTCATACTGTTTAAAGATACAGCAGCAACCAAATCCCAAAAAGCAGGGAGGTACTATTGAGTGCAATAACATCAGAAAGATATCTAAATAATCCTGTAAAATTTCTTCTTTGATAATCCATTCCAACCAATCAACAAATCAGCACTGAAGATTCTGCCAGGTCACAGTGTGTAAGTCTTTAGAAATGTCATAAAGCTATTAGAAAACCTTGTGAGCTGCTTCAGAGATTAGGACAATCTCTGAGGTGATGATCTCATATTGTCATATTGTATAACCTGGGGCCTCATCTATATCATATGACTTAGACACACACACACACACACACACACAGAGAAATAAAGTCTGAAAGCTTCAGTGTGTTTCTAAGTGCATTAATGTGTGTAGAATCTGTCTGTGTGTGTGTGTGTGTG